GGATTTGGATTTCGGGGTGTCTTGAGAGACTATGGAGATGGATTAAAGGGACGGTGCACCGCAAAACTGGAGCAGCACGCGCGAGCACGCCGGGGGGGAAGGGGGCGACGGGACTCGGTGAATTCACGGAGCCCCCGGGACAGAGGTGAGTGTCTCAGGCTGTCCGATAGCGTGGCTCTCTTCCCCCGCATGCACCCCCCTCCAAGCAACCTCACCGCTCCTCCTGGCGAGCGGGGGGGGCAGCACATGGTTTTCACGTTCATAATTGATGATCTCACGCAATCTGCTGATTTTCTGCTTGTGTTGGAGTAACAGCTATGTTATCTATAGCCCTCGCGGCATTGTGTTCCTTTCTCGCGGCTCCTTTTGTAGCAAATTTAAACTATAACCCAGAGGGGGGAGAAAAACAGCTATTCAAACCAAATGCATGTACAAACATGCTTTCCCCTCCACGAAATATGCAACCATCCGGACCATTTTAAATATCTTATTGAATTTATATTAAATGATTGGAATCAGCTTAAAAGTAATGGTTGTATTTAGAGGTAGGTGAGCTAAGTTGCGTGGACCCTCCTCCACGTCTCTTTGCGCATATGGCCCTTTATGTGCCTCTGGCTGTGAGGGGCCCTGCAGTGGACATCGTGGCTTCGCAGCTAGCACTGCAACTTTCTTGATGGATGAGTACGAGGTGAATGGGAAATGCATAAACTGTACTTGTTACACTTTATGTTCATTAATTCATTTTCAAGTTCATGTATGTCAGTCATAAGAACAGAGACTTTACGCTGTGCAGATGTTAATGTTTAGTCAATGGCCATGGATCCATGTCAGTGCATACTGTGCCATACTATGCTATATACTGTATGGTAATATCATAACAGGAATCATTTCTTATACCTTTGTGGAATCAACCAAAACATATTTTTATTGCAAATAATTGGGTGTTTTTTTTGTTCTAATTTGCCAAAATTCAATTTCATTATAATCTGGTGGAAATAAGACTTTTCCTTGTATGATCAAATAAAAACTATGGTTTTCTTAAAGCAATAACAAAAAAACATACATTCTTGAGAACACGCTCACTAGTACCGTTCATCAAAAGACAATCAGCAGAATAAATGGATGTGATCGGCATGTTTTCCCCTCTCCTTTACATGTTTTTACAGCCCCTTTAAGTTCATGCTAAGGCTGCAACTCATAGTTATTTTATATTGAATGATGTGCCAAAGATCTCTTTCTTGATTAATCAACTGTTTAGTTGTTTTAGAAATATCATGAAATAACCCAAATATGTCAAGTTTACTATCACATAAGACAAAGAAGGTCGTGTTTGGCATTTTCTTGCTTAAAAAATTACTTAAATAGTTATGAAGAGAGCTGCAGATTAATTTGCTGCCTACGAATTGATTATCTGATAGTTTTTGCTCAACGTCATTCAGTGCTGTTCAAATGTTTTATAATGCCAGTCAATAATAATACTCCACTAAAGTATATATATATATATATATGCTGTAGTATATAGATGGGCAAAACTAATTTAGGAAACACCAAAATAAATGAGCAGAGAAACCTAACAAAGGTAGATGCTTCCCAGCAGGGCATGATGGGAGATCACTGAATGGTTTGTTGTGTATTAACGTGAAGTAAAGCAAATAATATGGCCTTCGTGGTCACCAGATCTCAACTCAGCTAAACAACTATGGGAAATGTTGGACTGGCATGTTCGACAGCATGTCTCCACCACCATCATAAAAACATCGAATTAGAGATCCATTTTTGGAAGAATGACGTTAATCCCTCCAGTAGACCTCCAGGCACTTGGAGAATCTATATCAAGTAGTGCTGAAGCTTTAACACCTTACTGAGACACTTGATATTAGGTTTTCTTTCAATTTGTTACCTGTAGCGTACTTATATACGCATATATTAAACTACATATCTCCATATTCTATAGTCAGTGACGCTACTCAACAGCACTAGCCTGACGTACAAAAAAAACCTGCATTGCACTGGACTGTGATATACCCTAACACAGTCCCAGTCTAGCTCTAACACCTCCACCCCTACTCCTGTGTTGGTGGTCACTGAGTCTTGTATCTTCCTCTCTGTCTGACAGAGTGACAGACTGTTTCTGTCCACCGCAGGCTATACAACCCACTTCATTCACACACACACACACAGAAGTGATGTGCGTTGCTAAGACTATACACCCATGCAAACACTGCTGTGATGTTTGCAAGCACACAGCACATACATTTTGCAGTCATACACACACACACACACACACACATGTCGTGCCCCAGAGGACAAATGCTGGTGTGATAGATAAAAAGGCCTCCTTCTTCAGTAAAGAGGCTCATTTCGTGTGTATGTGTGTGTGTTGGAGTGAGGTTTAAGTGCTGACTGGAGTAGGTCACTGAGACCAAGCGGCTGGGAGAGTGAGACCCAGGATCGTGCGTCTTCCTAAGCTGCTTTCAGCTACACTGGAATCCATCCATCCCTCTCTCTGATCCCCCCCCCCCCACCACCACCACCACCAACCCCTCTACCCCCACCAACACTACCAGACACACACAAACTGGAGCCACACTCTTCTGCTTTCATCATTCTTCTATTTAATGTCTTTGATCTCCGCTTATCTTGTACCCAGTTCTCTCCTATTCTCCTTTCCTCTCCTCTCCTTTCCTCTCCTCTTCATTTCTAGCGGTCATGGAAATTAGACTGGAGAAGTCTTTGATTCTCTGTGCCTTTCAGTGCCTCAGGGTCAAGCCCTCTTATCTCGGAGAGAGACAGAAACGGAGAAAGGATGGATGGAGAGGAAGAGAAGGGGGAGCAGTAGAGGTAGCGAGAGAGATGTTAAGACAGAAGGACAGGTGGCAAGAGAAAGTGTAGAAAGGGCGAAGAAGCAGAGATAGCAATTCGTCAATAGATACACAAAAAAAGGCAAAACAGTGATGAGAAAGAAAGGCAATGAAAGTGCCAGTGAGAGAGAAATAAGCAAAGCTAAGCAAACACAGAGCAAGCGACAATTAAATGGAGAGACTGTAGATGAAAGGGGTAGAGATGCCTAGACAGCTTTCAGCCAATACGACTTTCTTCTAGGGTAGTATTTTTGGATCGAAGCCTCAGATCAGCTGATTTTGTGCTCATATTCAATCTGCCGGAAATTTGACAATTTGTGTGCCAGAAAAAAGGGAAATTGCAAGTAGAAAATGTAATTTACACAATAATGGGAGACCAAAACTCTCCAGAAAATCATTCTTAACAGTGTAATTAATTTTTAGTTTGCTCAGCAGGTCGGTGACACAATGTGCAGCAGGTTTCAGTGCGTGTTTTAGAGAGTGACACACACCTGGGGCTTTTGGGCAAAAGCAGATTCTCACATTCATCATATTGGCTAGTATGGAATTTCTATTAAAGAACAAAAGCAACAACAACAAAAGAATATCAGGACAGCTGTGGAAGTTGGTTGAAAAGGAGATAAAGTGAAGTCAGGAGAAAAGTGTTGGTAAAATGAAGGCAGATTGGTAGGAAGAGGTAGCGATATATGGAAGGTGATTGAGAAAGTGATAAGTAAAATGGGGCACAGAGAGGTAAATGGGGTGAGATTGAGTGAGCGAGAAGGAATGAAGTGGGCAGAGGACATATGTAGAGATAGAAGGACAGGCAGAAAGGAGAGAAACGGGGAGCTGTAAGGAGAGCTGTGAATATTTAACTCTGTTTAGTTTTCCATTCGGGCCCTTGGCTCCCACGTCTCTCTGATGCCTTCTAATCGCCTACAGGTTACTGATGGCGGGAGACGGCGGCATGTGTGTACGTCTAGAAGTTTGTGAGGAAGATGAATTTAGTGTGTAAAAAAAACATTTGGAAGTTAAAAGCATCCTTTTGAATTAATATTCTGGTTGCAGATTTAGCAATGACTTTTCAACGTCCTAATAACCTTGTGCGTGTTTGTCTGTGTCCTTTGTGCATGGGTGTAGAAACACTAATACAGAAACTCATTAACAAACAACACTATATCAAAATTGCTCAGAATACATCTTACTAGCAAGAGGTCTCATTCTTCAAACTAATGCGTTTTAATTTGTGCACTGCAAAACCTTTCAGCCTTAAAGGGACAGTTCACCCTAAAATCAAAAAATACGTCTTTTTCCTCTTACCTGCAGGGATCTTTATCAATCTAGATGGTTTTGGTGTGAGTTGCCTAGTTTTGGAGATATGGGTCATAATGGCTGCCTTCTTGAATGTAATGGGACGATATGACACTCGCCAAAAAAAGATTTTGACATTTGAAAAACTCAGCAGCAACGTCTCTTTTTAGAAATCATGACGCGGTTTACCCAAGATAAGCCCACAGACCTTGTTGTGAGCAATTCCATCGTTCCTACAGGAAACTCACAAAAACAGTCTTGATAAATAGCTCTAAGGGGACAAATATGTATTTTTGATTTTGGGATGAACTTCCGCTTTAACCAGCCTTTGAAAAGCTTTTCAACCTATGCTTCATTAATCAGATTAATCAGGTTCAGGCCTGGCAGAAGTTAGAACGTCTTTTTGATGCTTTCAGAAATATTGATTGAAATCAATGAAAAGCGCTCTGAAGCCTCCTCGCTGACAACCAATCTGTTACCCCAACAGGCCTGGACTGGTCCCACCCCAAGATGACTTCCCCCAAAAACAAAGCCAAGAAGAAACAACCCAAAGACAGTATGACGCTGCTGCCATGCTTTTATTTTGTAGAGGTATGTGTAGATAGATTGATGAATCACCTCATTTGATATACCAACGCTTGGTCAACATGACTCACTACATCTACTGAATCAATCACTAGCTGAATCACTCTCTCTGCTGTACGCTGTCATACCAGTCGTGATTTTTTTTATTTTATGTAAATTGCATCTGGATGCATCTGACCTCTACTGAAAGCAGAGTTTGATGTTTTTCACAAGCAAATATTATGGTGTCATCACTATCTTCTCGTCCCTTTTGTGTGTTTGAAGGTGAGTGTTAGTTGTTGTGGTGGGAGTTGAGATAAGACATTGGATGAATCACCCCTTTCCAGGCAAATATTAAATGCTAGTCACTCTTTGCTTTGTCCTTGTGTGTGTGTGTGTGTGTGTGTGTGTGTCTAGCTCCCCATCGTCCTGTCCTCCTTGGTGTCCCTGTACTTCCTGGAACTGACAGATGTGTTGTCCCCCGCGATGGTGGGCTTCCGTTGCCACGACCGTGACCTGTCCATGCCCTACGTGGAGACGGGTGATGAGCTTATCCCTCTGCTGATGCTGCTGAGTTTGGCCTTCGCTGGTCCTGCAGCATCTGTAAGTCCATCACACACACACACACACACACACATGTGACACGATTTAAAAGGACATTTTTTGGGGTTTTGTTAGATAATTTTTTAGGGTTTTAATGCCTCTATTAGTGTTGCTGGAGAATGGTAGGTTAAGGGGGGGGGGGGAGGAGATGACATTCAGCAAAGGGCCTTGGGCCAGAATTAAGCCCGGACCGCCGCCAAGGACTCAGCCTACATCGAGTGAGCTCAGGGTCACCCCAAATGAAATTTGAGGCAATTTTGCACTTCTTCCTTGTTGCCAAGACTCATGTGTGCAAATGGGGATGTTGGACTAGCTTAGTTCAATTCATGGATGTCCATGGAACCAAGTACTAAATTCTCTTAAAAGTGGACAAATTTCCTCAAAGATGGATAGCTACTACATGGTAATTTATGTATTCATATTTGTTCCTATCTAACTATAAAGCAAAGAAAAAACTGTATTGGTGGGGGACTCAACAGTGTGAAATTTGATGCAATTTGGACAAGCGACACGATGGATATTAATAAACTTTAAATAAGCAAACAGCGTTCGGTGCTACAGCGGAGGCGGGGCTTCAAGTCTCTGCGGAGTCGAGCATGCCGTCCGCAGTGGGTCTTTACAGAGGATGTGTATTTCTCGTAAAAGGAGCTGCTTCTTGATCAAATAGAGAGAAACAAAATGAAGCTTAGGCAGGCAGCATACAGAATTATATAAAGCTGGTGAGTGTTACGTCAAAATCTGCTCTCCATTTAGCTCGGTTTTGGCCTCCACCAGATTCTGAGAAACATATCTTGGTCTTTAGCTTGCTGGGTGTTCAACCTTTTTACTGGCTAGTCGCTTACATTGACGTTTGGTGCTGATTAGGTGGCATGAATTTGATTTATTAGATCCTTGTCTCACTGCTGGAAACTGGACTGATGAGAGGTGAATTCACTGAAAAGCTTGTTGAGAAATAATTCCCTGTGGTTTGAGCCTTTTTTTTTTTTTTTAAACTGTTTATGTAAAAATGTTGTATAGTGAAGCTTCACAAGAACAAAATCTTCCCATATTGGAGTCAGAAGGATACATCTTGTCTCAGAGGATCAGCTATCTAATGTGTGTCGGGGTTTTGGGGGTTTGTTTGTGAGACAAATACACAGATCACACAAATATGCAAACGTGCAGCTTCTCCAACACTTGCAAAGCAAATTCAATCCCCCCCTCAGGAATGCAAAGTCAATGGACACATTGATAAATACACACCTGACATTCCAATACACACCCCATCAAGCATGCCACAGGCCCCGCCAATCAATACACACACACAGTCACACACACACTGCTAATACATCAGCGGCATGGAAACGAGCAGAGCTCTCCAACACTCATCTATCACTCAGATTGGAAGTGATCACTATTCGATAACACCTTGCCTCCATTCTCCCGCCGTAGCTCTCGCTCATCCCACAAATGGATATTTGACATTAATAAAATAACAGAGATAGCACTTTTACTCTTTTTCCGCTCTGATTCTTTTCTGTTATGTGTCTTTCTGTTGTTGTTCTTTTTTATAGTTTTCTCTCACTGCCTCACATTGTCTACTCGAGTTTATTACTCCTTACATTTTACCTACTTCTCTTCCTCTGGCTGTAGATTATGATGGGGGAGGGCCTGATGTACTGCTTGCAGTCCAAACTGAAGACGTGTCCCAAGTCGGAGAGCAGCATCAATGCTGGAGGCTGCAGCTTCAACTCCTTCCTACGCAGAACCGTGCGCTTCGTCGGTATGTCCAACTACCAATCCTTTGGGGGGGTGGCGGGCGTATTTTGGAGGGTACGTTGCTGTGGACCTAGCAATAGCTGAGGTGCAGCTGGCCTCAGGGTCCATCTTTTAGAGGGTCTCATTAACCGCGTGGTTTGTCAAACGGCATTATTTTTCCACGGATGCTTATTCTGTTGGTGATTGCATATAAAAAGCATTTTTATTACACGATCCAAAACAAGTGCCTCTCTGAAGTGATTGCTTATGCGGTGCATTTAAGTTAATTGGTAACTGCGTGAGTGTGACAGCATTGCAGAAGCAAGTGTGTTTGGATTTAGGTCTTTCTTATTTTTCAGCTTAATCACCACATACTTGCCTCCTTTGTTTTTCACTCCTTTTCTTTGAGGAAACACTGTCCAAATAACTGAAATATGGTAGTTAAGGTCAATTATGTTCCCGAATATCTAACGGTTAGTGAATAGATATAAGGGCTACGTTTCTGCTCATGTGGCTATTGGTGTTGGCAGTTTTCCACAAAGCATATTTTCTGTATATCGTTTCTAAATCACATGAACCAAAACTGATGTAGTGCATTGAAGTTAATTGGCCATTGATACAGAGGACTAATCCTTCACAGTAAGGTCAGTGGGAGATTATCATGTCTCCACGTGTAGCTCACATTTGGTCCTCCGGGCTAACAACAGAGTTAACTTTGTAAAGAACGAAATGCTGTTGTTTTTAAGATGGAAATCAGTTTTGGCTCAGACAAATTGCTCCGTTTACCAGCTGAGCCCCCAACTTGATTCCACTTTTTAGAGAAGGGAAATAAGCTAATTACATGAATTAAGTGAAGGGTGACTTAAAAAGAAATAGGCATGATATAACGCTCCACAGGAAATGTCTTGAGGCAAACTTTGAGCTTTGAAGTGAAAAGAGTAATTAATTCACCTTGCCAAATTTCACTGTGTGCGTAAAAAGCTTCACAACATTACAAACTGAAGGCTTTCGGTGTCACTTCTGGTTGTTGCTTCAAATTCAGTGTCTCTCTTTTTGTTTTTTCCCTCGTATAACTGCAAGTGTTCATAAGTGAGCGGCTCATAGTGAAGAAACCTCCGGGGCCTTTCGGTTCATCCACCAAGGCTGCCTTACCATCTCTATCTCTGTCCCTCAGGTGTTCATGTGTTCGGTCTCCTGGCAACAGCCCTGGTGACAGATGTCATCCAGTTAGCTACCGGTTACCACGCCCCTTTCTTCCTCACCGTCTGCCAGCCCAATTACACGGCTCCGGGGGTGTCATGTGACAACAGTGCCTACATCACACGGGACATTTGTATGGGGAAAGACCAATATGCCATCATGTCAGCCAGGTAAGACACAGCGATGCGTGCAGAGAGCGCTAAAACAGCATCCATGGACACACAGAAGGTCTCCATCCGTCTGAATTCAAAATCTGCATCCGCTTGTACAAAAGAATGGAAAACATATGAAGACACACAGATAGACAGTGCTTTCATTACAGGATATTAGTTTAGCTTCTTATCGATAATATCGTTATCGTGAATTCTTTTGGTCATGATGATCATGTAGTGAAAATCTAATATCGGGATAGCCCTAATTGCTACACATTCCTCTCTTGCAGGAGTGTATATACGCTAAATTAATTTGCATTTGAATAGGATTACAGGAGATTAAAATAGCGAAAGGATTTTTAAAATAATACCTAATAATAATAATTTTCTTGTTGATGATATGCTGCTTAGTAAAGTTAAGTGTTTATTTGTACAACAAGACTTGCACTGCCCTTACAAATTCCCAGCAGCAGCAGCTCATTTTGACTCCTGAAGAAAACTCTTTAGCAGCGCAGAGTGAAACAGACTAACTACAGCAGGTATTAGACGGGTATCAGACATAATAAGTCCAGACAGACAGAAAAGATTACAGCTAAATATAACTGATATAGGGATAATCCAAGTAGAACAAACACCTACATGTTTGTACTTCTATACTTGTGAGGATCCATATTTTCGTAACGCTATCTCTAGCTTCTAACCCTAGCCATGAAGGAATAGTTCAACATTTTAGATAATCCACGTATTATACGCCCTCCTATAACCTCGCAAACCCCTTCCTGGCCGCACCTGATTGGACGAACGCTTTTACTTGTAAGCTGTCTGATTTCAAATCGGACCAACATGACGGCTCGTTTGGAAACGTTCTCTTATATTACGAAAACACCGGAATGTGTTTCTAAAAAATATTTGAGGCAAGAAATAAGCCATTCAGTCGCTAAATCTGTTTTAATTTTAGATCAACAATGGTTAAACATTTTTCGGGAGTTTCCAGAGGCAGAGAGTTGGGCTGAACGGCCCTGATTTGCATAGTGTAGCCTGGACCTCAACTTTATGCAAATGAGGAGCGGCCAACGTGATGCCCCGTCTCTTGAAACGCGCCACATCGCTTCCAGAATGCATTGCACGGCTACTAACATGTACAATGAATGGGAAGCGTGGAAATTAAGGATCCTGTGGACACGTGCCATAACCTCAACAATTAGCATAAACTCAACCTAAAATGTAATTGTAAGGCTGAAGCCAAAAACCAAGTCTTGACCCTCAGACCTTAGAAAAAATAAGGACCAGCCAAAATGTACTCAGATTGGTCTTATTCACTCTCCCTAATGTTCCCACTAATACCCCATGGTATTCTGTTTGTGTTTATTAACGCTCACATCCAAGGATGCACGCTCAGTTTGACAAACACACAGTCGAGCAATCGCACAGGTTTCAATGTCAAATACGACCCTGACACCACAAAGTGCTTTATTCAGGTATATTCAAGAGGCAATAAACACTCAGAATCCGCTCGGCTTTTCTTTTTTTTTTGTGAAAAGATAAATCTCTTTTTGTCTCTTTGACTTCACTCTTTCACACCTAACTATCCCCTTTTCTCCCCCCCAGGAAAACATTTCCATCCCAGCATGCAACGCTCTCTGGCTTCGCTGCTGTCTATATCTCCGTAAGCTCTTTTGTGTTTGTGTCCACTGATTATGATGGATTTACATCATACACTATATGCTTGCATGTGTTTGCGAATGTATGTGTGTGGTTTATTGGGTGTCACTGTAACTTTTAAATAGTTAATCCTGTTTTGTTTTACATTTCAGTAAAATATTTTGTAATATATTAAAGGTGCTAAATTCCAAATTCAGAGCATTAATATAGCAGCAAATAACTATTTTGCTTTGTACAGATATAGTAGAGTAAGCAGAGAAAGTCTCTCTCTCTCTCTCTCTCTGTGTGTTGTAATCTGAGCTTCTCTGTGCTTTGTTTATGTAGCCGGTCCGGTCACGCGTGCATGTCAGTGCATGTGAGTCCTAGTGTGTGTCCTACTGGCTAGCTAATCACCACTGCTCTGCACTGCACTCGTACAGCCGGTACGGCTAAAAACGCCGTCCAAGCCAACATCGTCGTCGCAGAGGCGTAACGCCCCCCCCCCGCCCAGGTTAACCCTGTTAGCTGTCAGCACTGTCGCTGTTGTGTGCACTGTTTGTGCTGTTAGCTGCGTTAGCTGGTGGCCGCCGGCTCAGCCGTTTCCATGTTGAGAGCCGTGTGGAGGCAATCCCGAACTCATAGATATGCTTTGAATTTGGAATTTAGCACACGTAACAATACATTTTTGCATTAATTTCTTTATCCTTAGAAATTTTCTTTCATTTCATGAGTTTGTGCCGTTGACAATGTATCTGTTCAATTATCTGTGTTCATGATAACTACCCAGATGTTCTTCAGCTTATTATGATGCTGCTGGCAACGTAAGATTAGCTCCTGCATATCAGAGGATTTCTAGCTGCAAACAAATAACTGTCACTTCATACATAAATCACAATTACGTTATGGTGTTTCTCACTGAGAAATTTACGTATTTCAGACTACAGTACCCTCAGGCCAAAGAGTCATCCAAATCTCACATAAAAAAAAAGGGACTGAGAACAACAGACTTCTGTTCCGTTACATCCTAACGCATATTGGTCGTAGCTTTCTGCTATTCTGTTGTCCGGTGATGACGTTGGCAGTATGTGAACTGTACAGCAGTGTAGCACTGTAATTATCCTATGAGATAACACCCTCCTACACACACCCTCCTCCACCAATGGCTATTCGAGCTACTGGTCATATCGCTGCTGATCCACTGAGCCCAGAGTGTGCTCATTAAAACTCACCAGACCGATTTCTGATGAGAGAGAAAGGGCGGGAGAGGAGGAGGAAAGCAGCTGTTTTAGTTGCTAGAGTTACAGCATGTTATCTAAATGCTGCAAAGTTGAGAAGCAGCCAATTAACACTGCTGTCAGATCATTTCTTCGGTATCGTTCTACACTGCCCACCACATTAAAACATGTATTTCTGTTACAATGACATGAAATAATTTCACTTGTTTCCATACTTTCTCTTTTCTTTTTGTTATTTGCTGAAACCTGGCAGAAAAAGCCGACCACTTGATAAAATAGACATTTGAATTGCACTGTAAATGTCACCCTGACAGATTCCTGCTTGAAGAAAAGCTGGATTTTTAGGCTCACGACTAGATGGACAAGCTTGTTGAAGTGGATATTTTTGCAAAGCCTGCTTCTCTGTCACTCAGCTGTCCTCCACTTTATGTAATCGAAATAAAGTGCGCATGCAGAGAATTTCAATGTAAATCTATAAATATATTCTGTCTCCCCTCCCGTGTCCCTCCTGCTCACTTCCCCACTGTTTTACTGTCAAAGAATATTCATCTTAATCACCCCGTTTGCCTCATATGTAGCACACTTTTTTATTTCTTCAAACAGCTGTAACAATCAATTAAGGTGGCATCATTTACAGAATTGTCATGAAACAAAAACAACGCGTGACAGGTCGTTTTATGAAATGACACAGATAGATTAGCTTAGCGAAAAAGGTGGAAGCAGGGGGAAAGAAAGAGAGAGCGAACAAAGCGAGCTGTTTTTTTCTGGTCTTTATGCTAAGCTAACCGGCTGCTGGCTGGGGCTTCATATTTGACACATATAAGTGTGCATTGATCTTCTCATTTAACTCTTGGCAAGTGTATTGCCCAAATTATTCCTTTTATAACTAAATTTAAGATGAGTGTACTACACTCCTCTAAATTGAAAATCATTCTACTTGTGTTGCAGTGTGTTGTTATGGCTTTTTAATAACATATCCACCTTGTCCGGCTGGCGTATTTATGTGCGCCTCTCTCTCCGCAGATGTATTTCAATACCAGCATCAGCAGCACGACCAAGTTGCTGAAGCCGTTGCTGGTCTTTTTTTTCTGCATGGCGGCGGGCCTCGCCGGGCTGACGCAGATAACTCAGCACCGCAGTCACCCGATAGACGTCTACGTGGGATACGTCATAGGAGCCGGCATCGGAGTCTACCTGGTTAGTTCAAACAAAGTGCACACAAAAAGAAAAGATTTATCGGACTAAAGCCTGTCTGCAAAAAATATATTTAAGTGCCTAATTTACATTGCTGGTTTCAAGGTAGTTACCTTTTATGCCAAATATAACTCAAGTGAAATTGTCTTGAAATGGATTTCCTGTTTCAGGATTTAGTTTGTGACATAGGGACCTGCATATGTTTGTAGGCATTTTGGGGATAAGTTTTGTCCTCAGGGAATAGTTAACAGTCGGCACACAGCGTGGTGGGAATGACCAAATACATATAAATAGATTTTGTTTTGTTAATTAAGTGGTTTAGTTGTTTTGCTGTGACTGAATTGTTCCATTGTGCTATTCTAACGCTATCACAGCATGTGCTAACAAATGCTTCTTTTTTGAATCACCGCTCCCGTCTGTGTGGCTTTCATACATTTCTCTCCTAGCAGTTTTTTTTGGCAGGCTCTATATATAGCTTTTTCTATTACGGAGGGAAGGGAGAGAGAATGACTAATCCGATAAGAATTCTCTGGAACAATTTCACACTTCATTTTAAGAAAACTTGTCGTTGCCATTTTCCACGCTCCGTTTCTCCTCCTCTCACTCTCTTCCTCTCTCATCTTTCGCATTTTAAGAGGGGGAGCGTTTCTTCCTGCCATTAAAGGATGAGTTCTCAGAAAGGGGGATGAGAGTGAATCATGTTGGCCTCAGACTAAACAGAAGGAAGAGAAATGCTCATGATGCACTTGCATCCCCACTAAAAGGAATATACATTTATTCCCTCCCAAAGATTAAAGAAAACACATTTTCACACTGGGTACTTCTATCTCCTCATTTGTTTCTCCTCCCCCCCCCCCCCCATCTCTGTGTCAGGCTGTGTTTGCAGTTGGAAACTTCAAAGCATCAGACGAAGATGCTCCCTCTTTACAGAGACTGGCCCCAGCTCAGCAGAAGGACGGCCTGAGGGTGCTGAGCCAGCGGAGCCACGACTCCCTGTACAGGAAGACTCCCAGGGTGTCTGAGAGCAGAGAGGAGCTGGGGGTGGGGCTCGGGTCCGGGGCCCGTTGTAAGGTGAGGAGGGAAAAGGCCTCCCTGGCCTCACTTAAACGAGCGAGTGCTGATGTGGAGCTCCTGGCGACCCGCGGTCCCATGGGCAAAGAAACCATGGTAACCTTCAGCAACACCTTGCCCCGAGTCGCAAACGGCAACAGCCCCATCTCCCCCTCAGACGAGCTCCCTGCCACGCAGCGTCACATGACCTTCCATGTGCCCTTTGACCCCCAGAGGTCTCGGCAGATGGTGTCAGAGTGGAGGCAGCGCTCGCTGGACCTCCGCAGCCAGAGCTCGCGAGACGACGAGGAGGAGGGAATGGACGGGAGGGATGGAGGAGATGAAGGAGGAGCAGCGGCAGGAGAAGGAGACCAGGAGATGCCTTCGTCTCTTTATCCCACAGTGCAAGCCAACAAGGGCACCGCCACACCGACTGGAGCCAGGATGGTGGTGGCACCCCCACTCGTTTACATCCCTGAGGAGGCCTCTCGTCCGCCGCCTGTCTCCCCAAAGAGTGCCAAGACCCGCGCCAAGTGGCTGTCACTCACCGAGGGAGGAGGGGGGAAAGAGCCGGGAGCCGGGCCGATTGCTGTGTCGACTCCCCGCGTTCCCAACACGCAGCCCAACCAGCCGCCCAGCCAGCAAAGAGTCACTCAGGTGAGGGGGAAATTCGAAAATGAGTGCCTGCAAATCATAATAATTACATTTTTTTGAGCAGTCATTTTTCATTCTTTGATTTCAAATGGCATGCTGCCAGTTCTGAAAAATATAGTTTAGATAGGAGAAGAGATTTAATAGCTGGCAAACCCCAGATGATTTATTTTGTTGATGAAATCAAAACAGAACAATTTCACTGATTACTTTACAACATAAAATACTCTCACAAGGGTTCAAACACTTATTATAGTTGGAATAACATCTCAAAAAAGTTTCTGTGAGGAATATTGAATATGTTACTATTTCCTTTAACAGTGTTTACCCTAATAATTTACCTGAACTTTAATGTTCAGCTGTTTTGTGAATACAAATGACCGTAGTCTCTGCTTTTCTTGAGATTGAAACTTTATTGTTAACCTTGGAAACAACAGCAGTTGACAAAGCAAGGTAGTTACCATTTGCCAACTGATCTGGATCAACCGCTTGAGCACTCTTCTCTCCTTTGTACATTCTGACTAGATTGCTCTTCTGTCCTCCAGGTGATAGCCATGTCTAAGCAGCAGGGTCACGGAGCCACTTCGTCCACTAAGACGTCAGAAGGTGGCTCCTCCTCCGGTGGCGGGTCCAACTGCTCCGAGTCGCCCTATTACCGGATCCCATCCGATCGAGACAGCTGCACAGGCAGCAACCCAGGGAGCATCGCTGGCAGCGGGAGCATCGTCACAATCGACGCTCACGCCCCTCACCACCCGGTGGTGCGTGTGTCGGCCGCTAATGGCAAGCCGTGGGAGTGGAGGAACACCATCAGCGGCAACATGATGGCCGCCGACACGGCGGGGGACAAACACCGTGCATCGATGCAGCGGCAGGACAATGTCAACCACTACCGGGATTACCGGACGCTGCCCTTGAAAGCGGACTTGCTCTGCTCCTCCTCGGCCGGCGGCGGCGCCGAAGGAGGTCTCGAGTTGCCTCCCCCACCTCTCCCCACCTCCTCCTCCCCTCTGCCTCACCCTCCTCAGCTGTTGTCATCCCCTCTACCGCCGCCGCCTCCCCACTCGTCTCCTTCACCCTTGCCTCCCCCTCCCCACCCAAGCTCCTCTCCAATGCTTCCCCCGCTCCCTCACCCTGGCTCGTCTCACATGCCTCCCCCTCCTCACCTGTCCTCTCAGATGGCCCCGCCACCCCTCCCATCGTCCTCGCAAATGCCCCCGCCTCCTCACCCATCCTCCTGTCAAATGCCCCCTCCACTTCATCCATCCTCCAGTCAAATGCCCCCACCTCCTCACCCGTTCTCCTGTCAAATGCCCCCGCCTCCACATCCGTCCTCTTCCCCTTTGCCACCACCGCCTCACACCGCATCCTCCATGCCTCTACCTCCTCACCCATCCTGCTCCAGCATGCTTCCCCCTCCTCCCCATCCCGACTTACTGATGGACGGCCACAGCCAGGCGCTGTCCCGCTCCTCCACCCTGCCTCGTCGGCCCTCCGCCCGCAGCCATGCGGAGCAGGAGCACTACTACAAGGCCATGCAGAACGAGCGGATGTTATAGTCAGGACATCATTGTCATATCAATGATCGTACTTCAGGAGACTCAGCTGAAAGAGACAGTGAAACAAAGGAGGTTGTGGCAGGTGAAGAGAAATGTATGACTTTTGAAAAATGACAAAAAAAGGTTTAGAGACTCTGAGACCAGAGCAGCAGTTTTTGGTCAAAATGCTGGAAATGAAGAGGCAGCAAGGGGCAGAGGACCACGGGGAGGTCTGGCAGCTCACACACACTCAGCAGGGGATCTCATTTACTCCTGCTCACACGTATTGCCCACAGCGCCGGCTCAACGCTTCTGACTGGGAAAAGAACAGACAAGAGAAGAAAGGGAAGTCACAAAGTGCAGGGTGAAGAATTAAAAAAGCCCTTGTTCACCTAGTTTCGACACGCACATCCTCCGCGTTTCTTTACTACACATTCAGGGGGAGGAGTGGAAGAGGCTGCAGCTGAAAGAGAGATATCACAATGAACGGCCTGGGATTTGCTAAATCAAATTTCCCTTGAGAGGGGGGATAAGACTGAGGAAAGAAAACAACTACAGGCAATACTAGCTCTCCTTAAACCCGGCACAGCTGTTTGAGATTGCCAGCCACAATACACAGTTTGCAGTTGTAACCGGCTGAAACACTCAGTGCTTCAAAGAAAAGAATGCAGTAACGTTAAGTTCAACCACAGGTTGAAGAGTGCTAGCCACAACCCACAAAAGCATGAGCGTCTTTCAATACACAAACCAAATGGGGAAATTTATGTTTCACACCAAGTAAATTTGTCAGCATCCACCAGACTGAGCCGGCTTAGGAAGCGTCGCTTTCTGGTTTGGGGTGTGAGAAGGAGGAGGAGGGGTGGGCATAAGGAGGATCATGCACAGTTGGGCACCCCTATACAGACGTCACCGCATGGATTACTGTTGTAAACATGAGAGGCGGTGGAATGGAAGGAGAATTGTTCCCGAAAGTGAAGAGAATGGCTGGGCTGAGCAGCACAGCGAGCCAGCGAGCCAGCCAGTCTGTCTTTGCTGTGTGCAAAACCTGCCACGGAGCCTGAAGCAGCGCTCAGGAGATTAGCGTTTGTTTATCAAACCGTGCTTGCGCACTCTTCCCTCCGTAGCCCTTCGCGTCTGGCCGGCTCCCTGGCAAATCACAATGGTGACGGGAGTGTTAATGGAAAGCTGCCCAGGCGATGGTGCAGCCCGCCATCATCAGCCACATGCACATTGCCTCAAGCAGGACGAGTGCGACTAACGGTCTCTGTTTATACCTGTTAGAATTTGAAAGATGTTGGTACCACTTTCTAACCATGCATACCTTATTAGGGGTTTGTAAGTTGTTAATGATCGTTAATTTGTGCTTTATAGATCAGAAATAAGGAATATTGTATTAATGTGTTCTTATCTACAAAAATAGCTTTCATTGTCTTTTTATCGAGCTATTTCATTTTTCAGGTAGAGCTCCTCAGGAAGGCTAATACAATATTTACAGACTTATAATCCTTTATTCATCCACCCATCCACCCATTAGCTGTACCCGTTCATCACGAGAGATCGGCAGTCTGTCACAGGGCTGCCCTTAATTAAGTATGCCTTGTTAGAAAGTGATGCCAACGAACAGCCAACCGACACCGCGACGGGACAGCAAAACCTTAAAAAGATGTTGACAAAACAATCTCGACTGAAGGTCCACTTGCTCGCTTGCTCTGACGCGTTTGACCCGCATCACACGGTCCTCATCAGCAGATCTTGTTTCCTCACTTGCCATTGGAAAACTGCAGCTGCTGATGAGGATCATGTGATGCAGTCAAAAGTTCCAAGCGAGTAACTTCACCTCAAGTTGAGTTTGTTGGGCCAGCTTCTGTTTTTATACAGTAGGTCACGAAAGTGCTTACAGCTTAAAGGTTTACAACTAGTTTATGACATTTTTAGACAAAACGATTAATAATTATTAACCGTAGAATTTATCTAATTATTAACTGATAATGAATATAATCAGTAGTCTCATCCCTAAGAAACACGCTTCGAATCCCCAAGTTGAGAGGAAGTGCGTGTGTTCTTCCTGCTCCCTCCTGCTACTTGTATTTAAACTGCGTTGTATAAAGTCATTATCTGGTACTTCATCATTTCATCCATCCAAGTTTTTACTAACTAACAGAAAATATTCCGTCCAATGACAAGCTTTAATTTCGATCGTATCTTGGTCAAATTTTATTGAAAGACCCACAAACGTGTTGGAGTTGGTCTTAAGCCATGCACCAACATCTGAAGGGTACTTCTACTGATTTTGTAAAGTCGTGCTAGGAAGGGGCGGGTTCAGTGGAACAGCTTGTGTTTTGTAGCGGAGCTCCTCAGATGAGGAGCTGGTAGATGATGTTGCTTGTCGGTTAGTGCTGCATGTGTGTACGAGCGTGTTTTTTTAAAAACGTTACTTCTGTGGTTCAAGTCTGCACCGTTAACTTTGACGGACAAACGGACTACATTTTTCAGTACTGGTGATTATTGTACTACTTCATCCCCCAATTTTGACTGTACAAATACTTAATATTACCTAATATTATTAATACTATTATTATTCCGCAGTCCTCTTTTATGGGACAATGTTTTTTATCTGTGGTGATGTGTAACATTGATAACCCCGATTGAATAAAAAACGAAGACTTCTTAACTGAGATGTCATGTTGTGTTACTTGACAGCATCGGCTGCCTCAAAATAGAGAGAGGGTCAATGCCGGGGCGGCTTTTACTGCCACTCTAATGAAAAGGATCTTCTCCATTGATTCTTGTACTTTCACTTGCTCATTCATACTGTACACTCACACAGTGACATACACACTCGCATGATTACACACAGCCAGACTGATACGGCACACGCAACATTTGCTCCTTTTCCTGAGGTCTAGTGTCAGGTTTCCATAATGAATTCTGCGAGAGTGTTGGCCCATCCCAGATGACCTGCAGTGTGTGTGTTTGAGCATGTGCGCAGGCTGTGTTATGGTAAAGTGTGCCCCTTAGTTTATTCTGGTAATTAAATTCTAGCATGATTCAGGTGCATTTAGGTGTATGATGATGCAGATATGCGTCGGTGTGTGTGTACATTTTAGTACGTGGTCCAGATTTAATGAGGTTATGTGTCCATTCAGATGTGTCATATTTGTGCATTGTTCTATCTGTATGCATGTTTGAGTGTTTGGTTCGGCTTGTATGCATATATGTGTTTGTGTGAGTGTGTGTGTGTCACGACCTGGCTCTGACCGTCATGACCTATTCAGGGAGACGCAGACAGGTTACCAAAAGAAAAGAGTTTTATTCGACATAACAAGTCGTCCAATGACAAATGGTGTTTGGGACGAGCCGTCCTCGCTCCTCCACGGGGTGATAGGAGAGGCCCCTGTTGCCATGAAGGCGGGGCTTTATCCTGGAGCACTGGCCCAGGTGTCTCCAGTTTGCAATCCTGTCATTAAAGGGACACACACACACACAACCAGGAACGTGGTAGGGAACCGTCACAGTGTGTGTCCAGTGCTTCGGAGCATTGAGCTGTGTGATGAGGCCGTACAGGCAGTGGGGGTGCAGATGGTGTACTGAGGCCTGAGGACAGTCAGCCTGTCCATGACTCACACCCAGCAAGCCAGCAGCTCTCCCTCTCCCTCTCTCTCTCTCTCTCTCTCTCTCTCCCCTCAGTGTCCCAGAAAGCATAACACAACAAGTGTGTATTTGTGTGTGACGGCAGGAGGCAACAGAAAATGCGGACTGAGCTGTCTTTATGCATGTGTCTATTTTTGCCAGCCGGTGTATATGCTTATATCTGTGTGTGTGTGTGTTTGTGTGTGTGTGACAGTGAGAGTGGCTGTCCAGGGGAAGCTGCTGACAGTCTTTTCAGGACTGATTTACCGCTGCAGAACAGCACAAAGGCCTTTTGTCCGCAGCTCCTCTTTTATCTGACTCACTTTGTCACTATCCCTCTACCTACTGCCATCTCACCCGGCTCCTCATGAACCTTTACACATGGACGAAGGGGATTTGGAGCTTTGCAGTTTATGTCCTGATTTTCCTGCAGTTCTCAGTTTCTTGAATGAGGGATTAGGATTCCAAAGGGTCGCAGGGATCGTCTTGCTTTCAGTCCGATCAATACAGGGTGTAATTGTTCTAAAACATCGGGTATTGATTTTCTTCTTTTTTTTTTTGCATGAAAAGGTTGTTGTATATCAAACATATGTACAGGGATTGACAATATTGACAATAGACCCCAGCCCTTAAAAGGTTATTCCTTCTCAGGGTCCACTGGTGGAACAGTTCAGGAACCCGTGTTTAACAGCTCTCTTGAAGGGCTTCGTCAATTATGAAAAGGAGACGAACGTGATGGTTTCATATTCCTACAGCGTAACGGTTGTTACAATTCTCAGCCCAGGACCCACAGTAAATTGCGTTAAGTCTCACGAGGGCTTATTTAACCACGATAGAAATCCTGTCATTTGTCGACCCACCAGGCACAGAGAGAGCTCATTCGGATCCAATATGATGACCAGCCTTAATGTGCCAGTCAGCCATCTACTGCCAAGGGCTGGGGGCTAGGACTGACATTTCTAGGAGGCTGGCTTCACTGAGTCAGAGGCTGTATTTCCATGTTTCTTTCTCGGGCTCCAAGACAAAGTACCTTTTTTTTTTTCTTTTTATCTACATTTCATCATTTTTGTGTGTGAGGCCAAACAGACAATAAAATCATGATGTACTTACCTGTCAGATTTGATGGTAATATAACAACATCCACAACAGGAATTTGCCGACATTTTGCTGTTGGGAAGAATGATTTCCCTCCGTGGATATAGTCTTGGTGTTGAGGATATACGTACGCTTGCTAGCTCGCTCACTCTTTATCCCCCAGGCTATAGAAGGTGATACATGTCTTATAACAAGCTTCATGTTACACAGTTTCAGCTCAGCTGGGAGCCTTGCAGTTTCATTGAGTTGTCTTCACCTCACAGGGCCATTGCTGCTTTAGAGGAGCTTGATTTTCATCCACACTGATTCCTTATAGATATTCCCTACGTGGACCATTTTTATTTTCTCAACTGAACTCAGGGTAGCAAGTATTAGAAAACAAGAGTATACAGACATTCTACCAGCTCTGTGAGGCTCTATTTAGGCCTAGTGTTGCTCTGAGCTAAATGCTAACGTCAGCAGGCTAACAAGCTAATGTTAAGTAGGTTTCACCATCTTTTAGTGCAAACAGAAAGTACATCTGAGGCTGTAGGGATTGTCCTTAGTTTTGCTGGCATTTGGACCTGATGATGGCACTATATGAAGAGTTAAAGGATCACCAAAGTGATTACAATTCATCCTGGGGGGGGATATCTGTACAGAATTTCATGGCAATTAATCCAATAACCATTGATATTTCACACAAAACTACAAAATGTCAACTTGTAGTGCTGGAGAGGAAAAAGTCAGAGGATAATCAATGCCGTATACAACTCCATCCTCTATAGAGAGCATGCATATCTGTCTTGCCGATCCATTGAGTAGTTAGTTGTTGAGATATTTTTGTGTGGTCCTAAGAGGTGACCACCTGACCAACAGACTGACATACCATCACAAGAACCCCACCGCTATCATGGCTGTAAGTTCATGAAACTCATCAATGGTAGAGTTTGGAATAGAAATAAAAGACCCGGCTCAGAGTCTGTAAAAAAGACTGTTTCTAAAAATTCCTCAAAAGTTGACTTTGCAAAGATGCACGGCTTTCATGTGACAGCTTACAGATACAGTCTACAAAGCAGGAGAAAGTATGCCAGTGGTTCGGTCCCCGCTCTCTCTGCTTCTCCACTTGTACTTGATGTGTCTGCTTGGCTGTCTCCTCATGCCTTCCTCTGAGAACTGAGCAGATAAAGATGGAGATGGAGATGGAGACGACATACCCCCTTACTCCACATGCATGGGCGCGCACACAAACACATAAACACAATTTTACATGTGATCATAGGCAGCAACACACTAAAAACCAGATCTGGAGATTTTAAGACAAACACCCTGCTCACAGACACGCAATCACATAAAAATTTACATTCACGCTCATGCATGTTGTTGTCCATGCCATACATGTTGCCCTCGTGCTATTTGTCTACATGTAGAGGCAGGGGAGGGGGCACAGTGCAGTGTATGTGAGCATGATTGGGCTGATGTGGTTGTGCCCTTACATGCATGAGTAAGACTACTGTACATGGCTTCGATACCCTACAGGCCTAGCAATGGGTAGTACCACATTGACACAGTTATCAGACCGGACTAATTTGGCCTGGGTGTGTGTGTGTGTGTGTGTGTGTGTGTGTGTGTGTGTGTGTGTGTAGGAGATCCTTGTATGTCATAATATATGTGTGACCCTTTCATGCATTTAGGTTTGTGGAACCTACACTCTTTTCACCTACGCTATGTTTGTTCTCCTTCATTGCCCTCTCACCTCTTCTCAAATGTGGATGGATCTGCAAGGACTGTATATGTCACGTGAAGAACCCCGTCCCTTTATGCGCTTATACCTCTACTCCCATACGTCTTCTCAAATGTGTAAATACCTCCGCTGCCGGGAAAATAAACCGTCGGATGTGTCAGAGTTTTCTGAGGGAGCTCTTGGCAGGTGATCACGCACTCATGCAACCATCTGACCCAGTTTTGGTTAAGATGCTGAGGGATATTATACATTATACACACAAATACACACAAATATTTAGCTAGTTCTGCAGCATTGCACAGATAAGACTACAATCAAATTGTACACTTTATCACATCTACAACACATGCACATTTGTACTGTACAGCACGCACAAGTGTTGCACCAAAGCAACTAATCCAGGGACATTTTTTTTTTAAACAGTCAGTCTGGGAGCCTAAATGTAATGAGTAAATTAGAGCGCTGCGGCACTACACTCATCTGCACTCATGACTGTGATGCATTCTATTTCATATCAGCTGCAAGCAGAGGAGACGGAGACAAAGGCGGCATCTAAATGTATCTGACTGCGTCGCAGTGTGTCTGACTGTTTCTGAGTATTTTCTAGCCTGGTAGTCGTGCTACATCTTGTTATTGGTGATTGATGATCAGGGGTTGACCAGAGCACGAATACGAATATGCACTGATTGATACAAATGGAACAGCTAAGAAAAAGGCAAAGGAGGAAGGAAAGAAACACACAAACAACAGAGAAAATATTGGGGAGGGGAGGACAGGAATGAAGGTTAAGAATGAAAGAGGAATGCAAGGAAAGCAGAGAGAGAAACATCACAGAGAGAAAAAAAGAAAGGATGATAGATGGACTGATACAAAGAGGAAACAAAAGAAGGAATTAATAGATAAATGAATAAAGTAATGAAGAGTGGAGACCCTAATCCAGGGTCAAGAGGAACAGGGAGGCATAGAAGTGGTAATTTAGGAAAAGAAGGAAAGGAATGAACAACAAATGCACAAGAAGGAGGGAATAGAAGAATTTACGGAGCGGGGGGATCAAAAAAGGGAATTAACTAACAAGCCACAAGGACCGAAGAAATGAAATGACAGGAGGAGAATTAAAAGGGTATCAAGTAAGCAAAGAAAGGGAGGTAAAAATAAGGGACGGGATTAAGGGATGAATGGATGGCATGGAAGGAACAAAAGAGAGAATGCAGTAGACTGGGAGGGATGTACAGAAGGAATGAAGGTTGGAAAGCTAAAAAAAAGTATGAATGACGGAATAAAGAAAAAGAATCCGGGAGGTGAAACAGAAAGAATCAAAAGAGAGAGAGAGGAGGAAATGGATAAAGCACAGGAGGAAATAAGGTAGTAAGGAAAGAGAAACGGAAAATGGACTAAATCAAGGGAGTGAAAAGGGTGAAGTGACTTTATGGCTGAAAGACAGAAATAAAAGAGCCGTCACTCCACTGTGACTCCCAGTTGAGCCTATGAATGGATACACGCTGACCTGCTTAACAGCTATTAACACTTTGTCACATCTGTTGCCAACTTCATCCATTACCAGAGGGGGGGGGGGGGTCATAGTGTCGGCATGTATGATAGACAGAAAGACAGACAGCTATTGAGAAAGAGAGAAGAATAAAATAGCAATACAGCTACTGTACCATGAGCCTAGCGTGTGTGTGTGTGCGTGTGCATGTCAGTGACAGTAGGTGTGTAACTAATGATGCGGCCTCATAATGAGGCCCGAGACATCGGTTCACACACATTTCCCTTGCATGAACCTCATTATCCCCCTGTGGATTTACAGCAGCAGACTGATGCGCATTTGTGTGCACATTCAAACGGACAGCCAGATTAAAAGAACGGTATTGAGAGAAAAAAAAGGGATTCAGACTAAGAACCAAGCGCTGATCTTTCATTATTCATGTCTGCTTTTGTGGCGGTGTTCTGCCACCGTGGAGAGAGGGAGTAAAAAGTGAAACAGGAGGAAGGAAAGAAGGGAGGGAGAATGACTAAATGGCACACATTAGACAGAGACGAGGTATAAAAAAAGAAGGGGTTTGAGAGAAACGTTGTCTTTTGATGCACTCCAGTGAAACAGCTCATTACAAACCAGAGCAACAAAAGAAAAGTGCAACATTTTCCAACTCCCACACACACACACACACACACACGCACACAGGCATGACTGCATACAAAACAATCTGCAGGAGCCCACAGAGGCATAATTGGCATTCTAAAGCACACAGTGAGAGACAGAGATGGAGTTAGGTAGACAGAGAAAGCAAAAAGAGAAACATGTTGGCATTTCTCTGGCCCAGCGCACTCAGTAGGAAACTCTTTCGACTCCCCCCCCCCAGGCCTCGATCTGCCTTTCAGCTCCCTCTCTCCATCACCCTCTCTTATCCATTCACTTTCTCCGCACCCCTCCCCTGCTGTGGATTTACGCCCGCCTCCTCCAAATTCCACTCAGTTATTTTCATGTTGGGTAATTTCTGATTCCCGCGATGTTTATTCATGACCAAGGTTCTGAGAGAGAGATAAGAAGCCAAGTGCTGAGCTGGCCCCGAGGGGGCTGGGAGGGCATGTGCATAAACACTACTGGAGCATACAAGCACATGTTTGCACTCAAGTCTGAAGACACACGCACACACATACACACACACACACACACACACACATACACACGCTAACCCTCCCAAAAAAACAACAACAGCGTTTTGGGTTTCTCAGTTAAACTGAGGTGTTTGGCTCATGAAGCACCGCTATTGTCATCAGATTGAGACTCAGCCGGGTGAATCCCTTTGCTGTTTCTGTTTGTCATGGAGAAAATTATTTTTCCTTTTTTGGAGATGTCAGTGCCTAAACATGTCTGACCCTCATCTGTCAGCAGTGTTTATCATGATGTCATGACACCACAAACACGCACACCACAAGGCAGGCTGTGTTTCTTTTCCAAACCCACCCCCGCCTGTAAGTGTAGTTGTATTTGTATGTTGCCTACTTGGTGATGTTGTTTATGCATGCATGAGTGTGTAGACAGATTTGCAGTTCAAATGGCCTGGGGGGGGGGAGATGAGAGATGTGCTGTGCTGAAAATGAGGAGTTGGTTAACATCCTTCTTATTCTCCCTCACCAAAATATGCTCACTTTCCTACTGCCACACCTTTCTCTAAGTCTCAAGAAAAATACACGCCACACTGATCAGTTTGCGATTCTCTCTTCTTCTGCACCTTTTCCGCTATTCCAAATTCTACTGGGAAGCCAGAGATGGAGTCTGAGCTGGTGTTTGGTATGTCAGTTCTCTCCCTAAGATAACTATAGTGACGCTTGCAGGTTTTCATCTAGTTTCATAGAGTTCCACAGACTGTAGGGTGACTGTGTCAAAAGACTAAAACATGTTTTTAAATAAGTCACCCTATCGGTCTTCTTTTCTCCACAGGGATGACGAGGATGTACGTATTAACTCCCCATGCCCCCATGTTAACAGCTCTTGCTATGCTATTTTGAGACCAAGCATGCATTGATTTGGTGATTTGCAGGTGAAAGACATCTGAACCGAGCTTTTGTTACAGTTCTAATTAACCTGGATGCCGAAAAATAACTTTTAGTCCAGTTTTAATGTAGACGTGTAGATGTCTTTTCACCTGCAAATCACCGTTGCTTATTGGTAGGTGACCTCTGTAAACAACTCTTATATACCCTGAAAACATATTTCCTCAAGCAGCCTCGTACTGTACTATGAGAGATGGGGTCCTGCATGGACACACAATTTTCTGTTGGAACAGTGTTTGTTATTTCACATGATTTGTTTTGTTGTCAGAATTCAGCAGCATTTAATCTAAGGTGAAAATCTGATGACACAAATCTGATGAAACCCGCTCACACAATCCCAACAAAGAAGATTAGCTCAGTATGCTAAACTCTTACTTAGCCATACATTTGAAATGTCAGAGAACACACATTTGTGACATAATGTTAGTTGTATCCCTGAGAGGAAGTGTCCAGTTTATAAAGGATATCTAAAACTGATATAATCTAATACAACAATCCTACAATAAATCCTACCATCGTGACATTTTATACATGTAAGAAAGTCCTCTTGGATGTTAAAAATTAAAACTATTTCTTGGTCTGCCCATCACCAGAGAACATGTCTGGAACACGACCACCACCTGCTGGATGTTGAGGGCAGGTGCAACGTATTTTGGTTGGATGCAGATGTGACAGAATCATTTGGGTCAGACGATAGTAGGCGGCTCCCAAATAGTTGAAATGTGTTTATTTATTTGTATCACAGTCATTCATTTAGTGTATTCCTGACTCAATAAATGAAATACAAAAAAAAAATCGGTCCAAATCCCTGCTTCGGGCTGTAAAGCCATTCGCCCTTAGAGCCCGAGGTTATTTATGTAACCGAATGAAAGCACGCCTTGAGAAGTCTTCATATTGAGCCTGTCCACCGCTAGATGGAGGAGTGGGGCAGAACAGCTGAGAGAATGGTCCCTTCTCCTCCAGTCGGAGGGCTGGATTTGATCCCAATTTTAGGCCGCAAGTACACTCCTCTTCTGCAGCCTTGAAGCAGACAGCCCAGTTCCTTGGACGTCATATGATAAGGCTGGAGGAGAGCCAGCGGGGCCCTCATTTGGAAAGGAGGACCTCAGTCAACGCGCGCAGTCAGGGCCCCCTTTATCTCCACAAGGCAGGGAGGCGTTTCCTTTCCCCCTCTCCCACTCCCCTTCACATACCACTCTGACTTTCTCTCTCTGTCGCTCTCTCACCCATACACTAACTACACTACAACCTGCTTCAGACGACGCCCCAGCCCCCATGAGATTTCCACTTAGGGCAGAGCCAAGTCTGCCGTGCGTCGTTTTCGCTCGAGAGGAAACAATCGGGGTCTTATTATTGTCGGGCTGCGCGCTCACGCTGCCCACGGCATCACCTCAGCAATAACAGAAGGGGTGCCAGCCAGAAGAAGAAGAGGAGGAGGAGGAAGAAGAGGCGGAGGAGAGGAGGAAGGGGTGTTAGCGTATTCCGAATTGACGCTCAGAAATAAACAGCCTGTTTGGAAGACGTCCGTGGCGGGAAGGGAAAGGGATCTGCAACTGAGTAAGTCGTGATTTACAGCGTGTGTCCTTTTTCTGTGGCTGACCTGCTTTTTGGTGGCTCGCCCAGCGGCTGGCTGTGCAGCGGCGCAATATTTACCGACAGCATCCTTATTTTAACTCGGGCTGGAGACATGGCAGAGGGATGGAGAGGGTTGGGGGGGGAAATAAATGAGTCAAATATTGGTGGTATCATTCTGCACTTATGAAATTCCTTTCTGTAAACACGGCCGCTGCACTAATATGAGGTAACAACTAGTAATCGCAAGAGGCGCAGCATCCTTCAGGGGACGTGAATTGCAAATTTAAGGTGATAAGCTCACAATAAAGTCACGCGCTGGTTTGCGGGTAAAAAAGAGAAGAAGAGGAAGACAACAAATAGCTGCATGATCATGTCACCAACAGCCCTGTTGGATGCCCAGAGGGCTGCTTTACTGTACTGCACATTGAAGCCACGATACAGCCAGGACGACAGGTGTAATCGGGACGACATGTTTACGCGAACGCCTTTGATAATGCATCATGTCCTATCGCTCTGTTTGGCGAGGAGGAGGGTTTCAGGATGTCTGCTTTTGCCTCGACGGTGAATTTCCAGCGGCGCCACCCGTGGGGTGAGGGATGCTGACTGGCTCGCGGGCTGTGGAGGAGAGTAACAGGGTATTCATGGTGTGTGTGTGTGTGCGTGTGTGTTGTGATGTGAGCGGTCTGCTCCAACATGGCGCTCATGAGCTGAAAAACCTTGGCCATTACATACTCCTGTCTGGAATTTACACTGTGCAGTCGACCAGGCGGCCGTTTTTTTCCCGTTTTTTCTGGATAGCAGAGAATGAGAGTGAGCATCCCTGACTGCTTGAGATTTAACTCAAATTAATTTCAGCTCAGGTTGCTACTAGTGATAGAGGCTGGCTCCTCTGTCCTCCCAGAGTATCATATTATCCTGTGTGTGTGTGTGTGAGAGTGTGTGTTTCATCTTTCTGTTTCTATTCCAGTCTCTGAATAGAACAATATCGTTTTATTAAGATCACAGCAGGCGACACCAGACAAAGAGTGCGCTTTTTTTGTTTGGTCTTGCATCCATTGTTTCTCTCCTGGGTCTCTGGCCTGTGAACAGACGTCACGGTTGTGCACAGCATCTTTGTTGACTAGACCACCAAGTTCATGACGATATAGAGTCCGCAAACCTAACACACCCACTGCATTTCTGAGAGAGTGAGTCCTTGAAGGACAAGACAGAGACTCTTTGTTTTAGTCATCTAGCTACAGTGACACCTGTTTGATTGACTCCCTTTTTCTTGACAGTTTCTTTCCGAGGGGAATTTAAGCAATACATCTCATCCATTTGTCATATCAGCCCAGGTGTGGATTTGATTGTTAATGTAATGTCAAAAAGGAGCAGAACCAACTAGTCCTATAAGCGAAAGTTTGCGATGTCAAGAAAAGTGCAAGGAATGATGTGTTTCGGTGCAATGATTAGATAGAAAAGTGTTCACCACTGGCAATATGTTGGGCTCTCTGTTGCCCTTTTTTGTACTGTGTTATAGCTATACTTACTTTTTAGAAATCTGGCAGAAAAAGCACAGTAATTGCACTACATGGCCTTCAAGAATCGCAAGCAAAGACTGAATTTGTTAGAATTAGGACTATCGATGATGATTACATGTTTGTTGTCTGTTCTGTCATTTTATTGTATGAGCGAGACATGTTAAGTCCCCCGTAGGCCTCAGTGAGCTGAGGGTCTATATCCGGTCGGCTGCTCTGTGTTGTGTCAGCGACTGGCAGTAGAGCTGACAGCACTTGCCCTGTCCACCCAATCATCATGCGGCATTATGACTCTGGACAGCCACATTTCTGTGTGTCAGGTTTTGTGTGCTCGTGTGTGTTCGCGTGTGTGCAGCTTTGTGTGTGCATTTTAGTCTGTCTTTGCTTGTTTGCCAGAAAAAAAGATGGATTGTGTGTGTGTGTGTGTGTGTGTTAATGGCTGTCTCCTGGCCCGGGAGGCTGGGCACCAGGGATGGATCTGTTTTCACCAATTTAGATAGAGGAAATGGGCTGGTAACCGGAAAGGTCATCCATCCTAATTTTGGACTGTCAATGAAAAATGAGGTGAAATGTGAATGAGTGACCACCTTTTCTACCAACCAACTACAGTCAAAGTGCCCAACAGAAGTCTTCAGTGAGATAACTAGGAGACAAACTGGTCATGTTGGCGTGAAAGTGTGAAACTATTGCCAAAAAGAGCACGCTCACCATAAACACAGCTCAACGGGCAAAGGACACCAAGTGACGTAAAAGTTTTGTTGCTGATATTAATGCAACAAAACGACCTAATGCTCACTTACACCACAGTAGTCAAGTCGCCCACACATGTCTTTGTATTTACAATGAATTAAATTGCTGTATGTATGTGAAAGGGCAACACATTCTCACAGCAGTAGTCACAAATTGCAATCTATTGGTTTTGTGTACAGGTACACGAATTGTGTTTTTTCGTGTCACTCGGCACAACTTCTTTTTTTCATGACGACTTTAGCAACGAAAACAAAATGTAGGTTTAAGCAGCAAAAACACTTAGTAAGGTTTAGGAAAAACATCATGGATTGGCTTAAAATAGCTATGAACAGTTAGGTTTAGGCAACAAAACCAATGAGTTAGATTTAGTAAACTGTCACAAATGTTATGTTTAGGCAACACAACATAGGGACAGGTGCTGTTGAACACCGGTCTCGTGTTAAACCAATCCACCTCTCCTCCTCCCCACCATCAGTGGTCTTTCTCGATATTAAAAACTACATCACTCTGACCGTTGCATAGTCACGTGGATGCATTGAGTCTGTGGGTCCACCATGAGAAAGGATCCCAATTGTCTTTCCGTTGGCATTGTTTTTGTGCTGAGCGACACAAAATGACAATTAGTGTCCCTGCACACAAAACCAATAGATGGATATTCGTGACAATTTCACAACCTAATGCAGGTTTAATGAAAATGCCAGGGGGTTAACGGTAACTTCTCCATTAAAAGTGACACAAAACTAATATTTTTCTGTCAACATAGTACCAAGACCGCTAATGCATGACTGCAATTTGCTAAAATTCCCGTGGCAGAAGTGGTTGGTTCAATGCCATTAGCAGAAAATGCCAGGCCTCTCCCGGGTTCACGTCCTGCCCTGAGCGAGTAGCCCCAGAGTGATTGATATTGCTAATTATCCTCAAATGACCTTACTGTCATTAAGAAACAATTCATGCAGTGGTGATGAAATCCCATCAGCATGGTAGTCGAAGATGTATGTTATGCATTACAGAAGCCCTTACGGTTACTGTTTTTACGCTCAAAGATGGTAGTGTCGGGTAAAAGAGGAAGTGGAAGTGAAAGCTTGCTCAGCAAGTGCACAGATAAGTAGTAACATCTGGGCAGATGGTAGAGTTGTGATATTTTATTTGACAATCTGCTTTGGCCTTTCTGCCTCCTTTGTTTTTTTCTCTTTCTATTAATCTCTGCCTCCTCTTTTCTTCCTGGATAGTCACTTTTTCTTTCCTTTTTTTTCGGACTACTTCTTATTACAAACCCCCCTCCTTGCTGCTTTGTCTTGACAGATAAGGCGAGAAAGGATTTGTTTTTTTTCCTCTCTCTCTTCCCAGCAGATGGTCTTTCTTCTGATAAACTGTCATTTTTAGCCACTAAGTCATTTTAATCTCAGAGGGAGATGTGCTCAGCGGTGTGTGTCTTATGCACCCCTCCCTAAAACGCTCGCGCACCCGCGCGCTCATATGACGATCACCAGTGTTGCTGCAAAGATGCTATCAAGGGCACTATTGATAAGAAATAGTTCATCCATCTGTTTGCACTGTAGATAACCTGAAACTAACACCACACACACATTTACACACATTCACATCTGGTTTAAGGGGAAAGAGGAGAATGAATAGAAGGTCTTGTCCCCTTATAAATAACACATAGTTGTTTTTTTTATGAACTCAGAAGAGATTGGACAGGGTGATATTGGACAAACATACTTAGCATTAACAATTCCTGAGCCTCTTGAGGGCCTTAAGTGGGGATTGGGATCTTGCCATAAGGGAAGGCCCCTATTTGTCCTAATGGTTCCTGCGTTAACATTGAGAGGCTGCTCCAGTAATGCAGGTCCGTAGGCTTCCGCTATCCGGATACGTAGAGTTTGCTGATTGAGCGGAGCGCACACCAGGACGCTGTCCGACAGACTGTCTGTAAACACAAAAGTAAAGCTGTCAGCAGGTAATGTTGATGCTAATCAATACTTAGAACCACCAGCCTATTTTAGCATTCTGCTTCAACTCTCTCAGCTTCTTGAAATATGTCCAAGCCTTAATAGTAACGAGACACAAAAAGGCATTTGTAGCATTTTTGTACAACATTGTTGGGATCTGCCAACATTCCTAATGTTGTATCAAAGGGGGTATTTATTCACCCAAGATGTTTTGTTGCAATGCCCATATACATGCATTCAAATGAAGGCGTGTGTTCACCATGCAGGGACACATCGTCTCTATGTCTGCCTCAGTTGTGTTTATTGTTGCTCATTCTGCCTCCCTGCCTGTTCATTGCCATTTCTCTACCTGTCCACCAGATGCCCTCAGACTTTCCCACCTGTCCCAGTCACACCCCCACATCCAGCCACTCCCTCCTGCTCTGCAGCAACCCATTTCCGGCCATTCCCATCATCTGACCCTCCCCGCCCGCCTGTTCAACTGTTCCCCATTCCACTCGTAAATCCAGTTGCTCTAGTGTTGCTGTGTCGTGAGAAGCAGTCGCAGGGAGATTGACCCTTTTTCTGGAGGATTCAAGCCTTTTTGTCAAGATTGCAAGTGATAGAGCTGCTGTTTTAGCGGCTAAACTAAGTGATAAGATTGAGTGCGAAGGGCCTTTAATGGCTGCTAAGCCGGTTTCAAAATGTCTGTTCTGAAGTGAATGGATTGCTTTGTCTTATAGCTGCAACTAATTATTTGTTTAGATGAATCCTCCCAATTATC